TAATATTGCAGTGAAGATGATGATGAATACAGTGATGATGACGACATGAGCTGGAAGGTAGGTTTAGTGTAACCATTAGAATCTTACTAGTCTTTATTTTTTATTTTATTTTTTTGAGAGCCTTCATTATAGTTAGGTCAAACCTGTTGAAGGKTGTTGGGAGATAAGGCACTAAACCATGTTTAAGTAGCATGATATACAAGTAGCATAGCACAAAAGGTAGCACATATTTTTGTTTCCTATACTCCAAATTCAAAGATTTARCTCATCTTTGTTGAAAATTTATGTCTTATCTACACAGTCATCTGATTATCCCATAGATTTGGTTCAGTTTAGTATGAAGACTTGATGAACATTTGAGATGTAGAGTTCAATCGTTTACACCAAGCTAATGTTGTATTAAAAAATATTGCTGARTCACACAATTCATTCAATTGCAGGTTCGTAGAGCAGCTGCCAAGTGCCTCACCGCAATCATTGGATCCAGACATGACTTGCTATCAGATTTGTATCGTAATATTGCACCTGCACTTATTGCCAGATTTAAAGGTACTACTTTGTACATTTTATGAGATGACATGTTGCTTGACATTATTCATTAGTTTTACGTGGGGTCTTATTCATACCACAAAAGTTTGATGTTTTTGCAAATTTATAAGTAGAGACGTTTTACTAGAACACTTGTTAAAGTGATTGACTGATTAAGGTTTGATTTATATAAAAAAGAAAGAAAAAACAAGATTCAACAAATAATCAATCATTCTTGTTTTACAGAAAGAGAAGAAAATGTCAAAGCTGATATCTTCAATGCATATATAACACTGCTACGACAAACACGCCCTGTTGCAGGGCAAAATGTTGATACTGATGCAATGGATGAAGACAGTGGGTAGGGAATTAATATGATTTATAAGTCATTAATTTATTTAATGTGTATATTACTCTTATTGGTCAAGTAGTGTATATAATTATTTTGATTATGTTTTAGTCCACTGATGATGCTTCAATCCCAGATCGGTAGTGTTGTCAAAGCACTGCATAAACAGCTCAGAGAGAAGAGTGTCAARACAAGACAGGTGAGTTCAGCCAGAGATCATTCAGTAGTCACACTGGTCTAATGTTTTTTKTACATTTCAGGGATGTTTTCATGTCATGTCTGAGCTTGTTGCAGTCTCTCCTGGTGCTCTCTCAGACCACATCAGTGCTATYGTGCCTGGTATACAGTTTTCACTGACGTAAGGCTGACATCTGTTCACAGATTCTCTGATTTCACAAATGATTATTAAATTACTTTCATTGTTATTTTGTAGAGATAAGAGTTCTACATCAAATATGAAAATAGATACTCTTGCTTTTCTTGGATGTATTTTGGCTCAACATCCTCCTTATGTCTTCCATCCTCATATCCCTGTATTATTGCCAGTAAGTACAGCAGTTTAATTTATCAAGTTTATCAATTCAAGTTTGGAAGTTTGTGTTGTTGATAAGATCTTGTTGTGTGTTTTAAAGCCTGTTGTCCATGCAGTTGGTGATCAGTTTTACAAGATTACATCAGAAGCTTTGTTAGTTACACAGCAGCTAGTAAAGGTTATCAGACCACTTGGTGAGTATTCACTAGGTTAACAAGCAATGCTCTGTCATCTTTTGACGACTGGTAACATTTTTAACTCGAAGATTGCGAAGCAATCGAAGAGTTATTGGAGGGGGACGAATCTGTCACTCACTCACTCACTCACTCACTCACTCACTCACTTTCCTGTAAACTTGAGCCTGCGTTACTTGTGTTCAAAACTATTTATTTATTCTCATTGTTCT